CCATCATTATTGCCAAAATACAATTTTTCACTCACCTGAACTGTCACCTTCAGAACTGCTCCCAGGTGGCAAAAGAATTGTTGATCCACCACTTGAGTCTGCATCATAATCTTCTCCCTGGTCACTTGGAGAGAAGTCAATGTGACGTCTTTTGGTTGAACTGCTTCTCTCTGGTCTGGGCCCCTGCCTCTTCTGTGGGGATTTCACATTCAGAATTCTCTTCTGAAGATAAGTGTACATGCTCATCTGTGGTGAAAAAAGTCATTTATTGAAAAAACATTTTGAATATCACAACTTTTTAAAATAACTTTTCAAGAAAAATAATATGGCTAAAACTGTCATCACTTACATGTTTGATGGGTTCATCTTTATCCTGTAGCATGGGATAATACTCCACTAGTTTCTTAGCCATTGCAGTGGCTTCATGCTTTGAAGGGTACTGGAGTTCCTCTCCTTGGGGACTTGCGCTCAAGATTGAAATCATGCTGGTAACAGTGTTCCTCACCAGCCTGCATCTCAGCTCTTTCTACATGGCAGATTCCCCCTCTCTACCAGTGTGGGCCATCTCAAAATGGTGCTTACGAGCTAGTTCCAACTCAGTGTCTGTGTAGATCACATATTCTGGAGGACTAGGAAGTTGTAGGGTTTTCCTTGGGGTTTTCTTCACCACAGGAGTGGATGTGTGGGGGTATACTGGAGGTGATCCTTGAAGTGATGACACAGTTCCTCTTTCACCTGGGCCAGCTTTGTCTGGTAAAGCGGCATTCTCACCCTCAGAAAAAAAAATCAAAACACAATTATTACAAGGTAAATGACAGACACAATTAGAAACAACATGTTACGGTTTAGGGAACTGGACCTGAGGTGAAATACATGAGGATACGAGACATAGGTGGGGCAATCGCATACATGAGACACACAAGGTACACACAGGAGGAAAAACACACGAAATACAAGACATGGAACTTCAAAATAAAACAGGGCATGGACAATGAAGTGGGGACAAACCATGGCACAAAAAAATGAAAAAAACAAGTCGGCAAAAACTTACCTCTTGGCTAATAAGAGCCCACAGTTGTTTACTCCTGAGAAAGTTCTCTGGCCCAGGAAAGAGGTCTCTTAAATCATCCCGACTGAGGCTGTGGAGTAAGGCCTCATCTATGCTGGCAGCTGTAAACAAAGTCAAATCATTAACAAACCTTTTAGAATTAAAAAACATATACCCTTTTTTACCTGGTAAACTGACAAGGTGAATAAAGTCCAATTGAGGTGTCTGCATTATTCCATCTATTGTCTAACAATAAATCTAATAATAGATTTGGAGTTTTGAGATAGCAAAATAGCTGAAATATTTTTTGTTTCTGAGATCAGTATAATCATGCACAATCAATAATTCAGTTAAATGGTAATGCAAATCAATATTATGTAACACACTGTATGCAGCAATACCTAAACATACCGTTTAGAACCGAAACAGTCATTTCATCCAATTCCTCCATGATGTTAAAGCTCTTTTAGTTGCTCCTGGAAGCACGAAAAAACATCACAAGTCATGGATAGGTAAAGTTGGATCACTCTGTCAAAAGTGACACAGAATCTGACACCTGGATAAGTTGCTCAAAGGTGACTGAGCAAAAGTGTCACGTCTGGTGTCTCGTCATGTCATGATTACCTATTGTGTACACCTGGGGTTCCCCTCCCTGCGATGTGTTTAAATAGTCCTCGTTTCCCCTTGTCTCGTGCGAGTGCGTTCTAGTCCGTCTTGTCTTTCGTCACCCCCCACGCCAGGTTTGCTTTTGTCATAGTCTTTTACTTTGCCATAGTCACAGTCTTGTCACAGTTTTGTTGATCGTTATTTTGTTACTTTGCCACAGTCTTGTTTACTTATTGCTTTGATACTTTTCTCACCGTTTTCCACAGCTTTGATTTGTACTTTGTCTGGACATTCACTCTTCATGAGTTTTTTGTTGCAATAAATCTTGTCTCCCCTCATCTCCGCACCTGAGTCCTCCCTCCATAAACCACCCCACATGACAAAAAGCTTAATTCAATATGTGGAAATGACAAACAATAAGGAAAACAGTGACTTCAATGTCATTATTCAACCATTCACCACGATAAAGCTACTCCAGCTTAGCCGTTAGATATTTAAAATATACTTTTGTATACTCTTTGTTCACAGATTCAAAACAATTATAACCTAAATTATGTCAAATCATTAAAACACGATGAGAGCAGATAAATACTTTATTTACGTCACTGTACGTCTCTATTTTCTTTTTTTTACAGAATGTGCACAGCAGACCTAGCTAGCCAGGTCTATAAAGTAATGAATCTGCACTGTCTTTCACTGCTTGTTCACCACGTAAATCTACTGTGGCATCATGCAGGTCTCCCTCTAATCAACACACAGAGCTGCGGTCAGGTGACCTAGCCTCTTCACGTGTTTTAGCGCCCTTCCAGCAAGTTGCTTTTAATATATCCACATTCATAGAGCACATGATAAAAAAAAAAAGATTCATCAACGTTTTCAATTCGTCGCAGGAGAAAAATCATAAGAAAAGACTTCGTAGACGTTGTAGCGCCAAACCTGCAAAATCATCTAACGTTAGCTAAGTTAGCTAGCTGTTTTTTAGATTGAAGAGGCCGATTTATTCATTGATACGGCCGCAGTTTTCGCAATGAGTGGAATAAATGTGAAGAGTAACGTTTAATAACGTTATATTTTTTATACAACGTTGTTTTCTCCTTACCATAGCAGGATCCAGTCCAAATAGCCTGTAGTTTTCCCAACCGTCGCAGGGCAGACGTGACCACATGAGAGTAATGAGGGGGGATTGGTGCAGACCATGTCAGTCAGTGCAAAACGTGTAAAAAAAACGATAAAAATGACATACAAACATACATAGTTGGCAAATACTAGAACTATAAATGATATTTTAATTTCTAGGCTGTTGTTGTTCCCTGTATAATCACATCACTATGCAAATTAAATAATCTTGCTATGATCCACCTCCCCTCCCGCCCACATTTGGTATTGACCTCTCTAGTCAGTATGTGCCCGCCAAAATACAATTCCAATGATTTAGATTGAAGCGGTTATACAGTGCTGCCTTTTCTACAAAGATCAAATAGGGCTACTCCCTTTTGCTATTTGTGTTTTTCTAGTGTAGGCTAATTTTTCAGATTAGTGGAGATTTTTCCGTGGTTTAAACATCTTCTGTCAGCATTCATCTGTCTAGCGGATTTCTTTTTCGACAGAACATGGCTTGTTGGAGGTGTGTGATTTGCTTAGTTTTCGTTGCCTTAACATTGAAGTCCCTCTTGAGCCATATTAACACGGCACATAGTCGCAGTCCCGATTGCCGTGTTATATGCAGGATTCAGAATCAGAATCAGAATCAGAAATACTTTAATAATCCCAGAGGGAAATTACTTTTGTTACAGGCTCCATAAGCAAAACAAAGGCATATACATATTTACATGTCTATACATATATACATATATATATACAAAATTCCTCATAAATATAGCTAGATATATACATAAGAAATAATATGTGTATATGTAGGTCTAAATGAGAGGTGGATAGTGTCAATGATTAAGATTGACTCTCAGAGGGAAGCGTTGTACAGATTGATGACCAAGAAGGATTTCCGGTGGCGCTCTGTGGTGCATTTGGGTGAGAGGAGTCTTCTGCTGAAGGAGCTCCTCTGTTGGGCCAGTGTGTCGTAGAGGGGGTGAGACACATTGTCCATGATGGAACTTAAGCCTGGACAGCATCCTCCTCTCTGCCACGGTCGACAGAGTGTCCAGCTCCTCCCCTACAACATCACCCGCCTTCCTGATCAGTTTATTTAGTCTGTTGCTGTCTGCGATCCTCAGCCCACTGCCCCAGCATGTGACAGCAAAGAAGATCGCACTGGCCACAACAGACTCATAAAACATCCTCAGCATCGTCTGACAGATGTTAAACGACCTCAGCCTCCTCAGGAAGAAGAGTCGGCTTTGGCCCTTTTTGTAGACTGCCTTGGTGTTTCTTGTCCAGTCCAGTTTATTATTTAAGTACACCCCCAGGTACATATACTCCTCTACAGTGTCTACAGGGACCCCCTGGATGGAAACAGGGGTCACAGGTGTTTTGGCCCTCCTCAGATCCACTATGAGCTCCTTTGTCTTTGTCACATTGAGCTGCAGATGGTTAAGTTTACTCCAAGTGACAAAGTTGTCCACCACAGTCCTATATTCACCTTCATCTCCCCTTTCAATGCAGCCAACTATTGCTGAGTCATCAGAGAATTTCTGAAGATGGCAGGACTCAGAGCAATGGCTGAAGTCTGAGGTGAAGACGGTGAAGAGGAATGGAGAGAGGACAGTCCCCTGAGGGGCCCCGGTGTTGCTGATCACCCTGTCAGACACAGTTCTGTAGGCATACATACTGTGGTCTGCCCGTCAGATAGTCAACAATCCAGGACACGATGGGGGCATCCACCTGCATTGCCGTCATCTTCTCACCCAGTAGAGCCGGACGGATGGTGTTGAAAGCACTGGAGAAATCAAAGAACATGATCCTCACAGTGCTCACCAGCTTGTCCAGATGAGTGTAGACTCTGTTCAGCAGGTAGATGATGCTGTCGTCAACTCCTAGGCGGGGCTGGTAGGCGAACTGTAGTGGATCCATGAAGGGCCTGACCATAGGCCTTAGCTGTTCCAGAACTAGCCTCTCGAAGGTCTTCATGATGTGGGACGTTCGTGCCACCGGCCTGTAGTCCTGAGGGCCGTTAGGACGCGGCGTCTTAGGTACAGGAACGAGGCAGGACGTCTTCCACAGCACGGGGACTCTCTGGAGGCGCAGGCTCAGGCTGAAGACCAGACCAAGGACTCCACACAGCTGGGCGGCACAAGCTTTAAGCACCCCAGGAAATACACCATCGGGGCCTGCAGCTTTGCCGGTGTGGAGTCTGGTCAGTTGTCTTCGAACCAGGTCAGGTGTGAGGGACACTGAAGAGGTGACAGTTGTGGGAGGGGATAAGTCCTCAGGTTGTGGAGGACACGATGCAGAGCAGGGGGGAGGGGTGGAGTAGGTGGGTGTGGAATGAGGTGGTAAGGAGAAGACAGGGCGTCTGAAAGGAGGAGGAGTGGGGGAAGGAGGAGTGGTCGTTGTTGGGAAACCATCAGCATCAGGTGGAGTGGTCGTCGTTGGGAAACCATCAGCAGAGGCTTGTGGGGGATGGGCCTCAGTATCAAACCTATTGAAAAATAGGTTCAATTCGTTGGCTCGTTCCACTCGGCCATCCAACCCCATGTTGCCGGTCTTCTGGAACCCGGTGATGGTTCTCATGCCACTCCACACCTCCCTCATGTTGTTATGCTGGAGTTTATTCTCCAGCTTTCTCCTGTACTTGTTCTTGGCCTCCTTAATTTTCAGTTTGAGTAGCCCCTGTACTCTCCTCATCTCGTCACTGTTGCCATCTCTGAAAGCCCTCTTCTTTTCATTAAGGATGGCCTTGATGTCCTTAGTGATCCATGGTTTGTTGTTGGCATAGCAGGTGACGGTCCGAGCTGGGACATTGCATTCAACACAGAAGTTGATGTAGTCCGTGACGCACTCTGTGAGCCCATCGATATCCTCCCCATGGGGCTCACAAAGTGCAGTCCAGTCTGTCAACTCAAAGCAGGCCTGCAGTGTCTCATAAGCCTCCTCCGACCACCTCCTCACAGTCCTTGTGGTCGTTGGCACCCTCTTCACAAGAGGCACATAGCAGGGTGTGAGGTGGACCAGGTTGTGATCTGACTTGCCCAGAGGGGGGAGAGAAGAGGAGATGTATGCGTCCTTAATGTTAGCATACATCAGATCCAGGGTCCTCTCCTCTCTGGTTGGACAGCTCACATATTGCTTGAAGGTCGGGAGCACTCTGTTTATGGTGACGTGGTTGAAGTCTCCCGACATGATGATGAAGGCATTGGGGTGTTGCGTCTGTAGTTTGGAGATGGAGGTGTGTATGATGCTGCAGGCAGATGTTGGGTTTGCAGAGGGAGGGATGTACAGGACAGCAATGATGACGTGAGGGATCTCTCTGGGCAGATGGTATGGACGGAGTCCAACAGCAAGCAGTTCCACATCCGGGCTACAGAGCTGTTCCTTAACAGTGATATGACCCGGGTAACACCATCTGCTGTTCACTAGAATGGCATGTTCCCCTCCTTTCCGCTTGCCACTCTTAGGATCCCGGTAAGCCAGGATGGTGTGGAAGCCATCCACGGAGACAGTCTGGTCCGTTATGTCCCTGTGCAGCCACGTCTCCGTGAAGCACATCAAACTGCACTCTCGGAACTCTGGGTGGCCCCGCGTCAGAGCCGTTAGCTCGTCCATCTTGTTGCCAAGAGACCGAACGTTGCCCATAATAACAGAGGGGAGACAATGCTTAAATCTTCTCCTCTCAATAAGCCCTTGCTGTCTCGACCCTCCTTTCATCCTCCGATAGTTTTTTCCTCCTCTGCAACCTCGGCGAGTTTTCCTCCGTAGTTCTGGTGGTATATCAGCTGGTCTGGTCACGACGCCGGCCGGCTTCAATGCGATCAGCTGTTCCCCGGAGTAAACAAAGGCAGCGTGTCCCGTTGTAGGCGGCATTATTATTTTTTTTAAAAAAGTACGATTTGGAGCTTGTCACTTACTGAAAAATACCTCGTTAGAGAGGACAGAACCTCACTGAGTTACCATGAGGCCACGGAGCAAACAGAAAGACGAAAAAGTAAGAAAGTTATAAAAAAAGCGAACATAAAAGTTGGAGCGACGTAACAGGCAGCCTGCAGCTTTCGCACACGCGCACAATATCGGATCGGAGGTGCAAAAAGCTGGATCGGGACTTCCCTACTGTATTTCTTCATAAGATTACTTCTATAACCATAAAATAGTTATTGAGGGGTGAATTGAGTCAGACTGAGTACTACTGAAGGCCTAGGTGTGAAATGCACGGTCCGCCACTATATATGTATATATATATATATATATATATATATATATATATATTAAGGCTGTAAAAAAATAACGTGCTAATTTTTATCAATTCATTTTAGCAAAAATAACGCATTAAAAAAACAAAAGCTTATTAATCAATATCATATTGACCTTTGACCCGGAACCGTTCTCGTCAGTCACCATTAGACCACAGATGGTTGAATCTTTGATAAGACTCTAAAATTAAAAAGGGAGACGAGATTGCGGCGCCTGGGTCTTTGATTTCATCATTTAGTTATAAAAACCTGCCTGATGGAAGTGTTGATAAAAGTAAAGTCATCTGCAATGTCTGCAGAAGGGAATTTGCTTACAACCAGAGTGCGTCAACTCTTAAGTACCACAAAAGTGCAAAACATCCAGGATTTAACCCGGAGGAAGGACCACGACCTAGCACGTCCTGTGATACAAGCTTTAGCAGTCAACCTCATCATCAAACCACACTGGAGCAAACACTGAAACGGAAACTAAGCAAATCTGCATGTGACCGACTGAGCAATTCCCATGCTAAATGGATCGCAGTGTTCTGCACACCAGTTTCATTGATAGAAGACAGGGGGTTAGCAGAGGTTTTACAAATAGCCTCTTCAGACATGACATATAACCCGCCATCACGAACCACCATTATGTCAAAAATCCAGCGGCTGTACGACACTGAAAAAAAAAAAAAGAGATGTACTGGTGGGAGCAGAACATATCGCGCTGACGGGATCACTGGACTTCAGTTAGCAACCACAATTACTTTGGTGTGACGGCACACATCATTGACTGTGAATGGAAACTCCAGTGATTTGCGTTAGCGATGCTAAAAACGGAGACCAGGCATTACGCCGATGCCTGTGCCCAGCAGTTTTTGTCTGTGGCCGAGGCATGGGGAGTTCAACCAAACATCACCACAGTCAGCACAGACAGCGCCCTAAACATGATTGCTGCAGCGAGAAAGCTTCCATATGAGCAAAAATGATATGCGATTAATTTAGATTAATCGATTGAAAGCTGTAATATATATATATAAAACCTAACACTAAGTCAAAATGACTCCTAGCTCAAAACATGACCAACTAAAATATATAAACATTACTTATAAGACTATGATTACAAGCTCTGAAAGCAAACCCTTTTTTTGGCACTGTGTTTAAAGCAACTCTTTCCAGGGCTTTTGCTTGCAGAAACCTGCAGGCCAGCTTTGGATTCCACCTGTTGGTCAACAGCTGGGGTTTCCTGCTCTGCAGGCTCCTGGATCTCTGCTCCTAAAATGTCTGCATGGTTCATATCTTGAGTTACATCTACATCATGTTCTCATCTTGGCTGGCACTAAGCCAGTCAGTGGACAGGATTCATTATCGTTATTTAAGACAATCTCACAAAGGGTTTGACGTCAGTAAAACTAACTCTGTATGCAAGTAATTCCAAAAAAAAGGTCAACTGCACCACTTACAATTAAACAATATAAAAAAGTGTGACAACTATGTATAACCAAAGAAAAGACAAATAAATCTGGATATGAAACACTATCAGCAAACCAGGGCACAACTTGAAGTTGTTCATTGTAAAATGGAAGTTTGTCTTTTCTGTCCACATCAC